GAGCATAGCCCTGCCAATACCTTGATTTTGGACTTCTAGCTTCTAGAACTATGAGGAAAGAAATTTCTGCAGTTTTATACCAACCAGTTTCCAGCAATTACAGCATTTATCAGAAACTAACACACTACCTGTATTCTTAGTCAGTTCACCTTCAGTGTTTAAGGGTATGTCAGGATATTGGTACTTTTCCTTCCTGGAGGACCTCATTGATCTGTACTGAGGGACTTTTCTTTGCCTTGGCTTTTCTTTTGTAATATGGGACAAGCTTTTTTCCCCAGTGTGCCTCTGTTTTCAGTATCTATGGTTGGTTGGGGAATGGAAGACCTACCTGTTGGATTGCAGGGCCACAGATTTATTTAGGGTCCTGTCTTGTTTTTAACTCTAATACTCTGAAAACGTCTGCCAGGTGTTGTAGTACAGGTAAAAGAACAATCTCCCATTCTAATTTCTAATTTCCGTTTTCAAATTAGGTCTCCAATTTTAGATTCAACTCCATTAGCAAAATGATGAAAGTCAACTTTCTAGACTCCTAATTGTCATTGCAATGTAGCTTCTAGTATGCCCCCCATCTTTTCTCTGTTTGCAGAGATCCAATTATGATCCAGTCTCTTTTTAAATTTTTTCTCCATAGGGTATGTGTTCACCAGAGAAACAGAGAGGAAAAGTGAGAAATCACCAACACATCCCATGTGGGGGTGGGGGGTAGGGCCTCACCATAATCCCTTCTCCATTCTCCTCTTGGAATTTTGGGCATACACACACACACACACACACACAGAGTGTGATTTTTCAAGCAACTGGATCTGAGACTCAAACCAGGGTTGACCATGTGGTAATCCAGTGCCTCAACCACCACGTCACCTGCTAGCCCCCACGGTACAATAATTTTTTTTCTGGTAATATGTTAAGCATAGCTTTTAGGAGATTTCACCTTACATTTTGAGCCTTTTATGGACTCTCAGATTTATTGTGGACATAAAGATCCTCTTGATCTCTTTCTGGGTGAGTGTAGTCAGTTTTTGCCATTCAGGAGTTAACCCTGGAGGTTCTGATCAACATGTGTACAAGCTGTCATAGGTCAAGCAACTCTGAGTCACATGCACACAAAAATATTCTAGGTTACTCTATAAATAGTCATCTGTCTTGTCTGGGTTTGAGGAAGTCCTTAATTATGGTTCTTCAATCAGCTCAGGTCCAAGACCTAAATTCTGAAGCTGTCTACATACCTGACTGAGGGGATAGATCTTTAAAGAGGGATTTAGGGGTCTTAGATTACTGGGAAAGGAAAAGGGCTTGGACATGGGAAAGAGAAAGGAGTGGGCAGACAGGCGTGGGGGAAAATCAGGAAAAGGGAGAAAGAGGGGTAAGCTTAAGGAGGCAACTAGAGGACAAGAGAGGTAGGATTTGCTAGTAAAATGAAGCTTGTTTGTTGCTACTTAAATTTGTCAAATTGCTCATTAGCTTTGGCCAAAAAAATATATTTTTGAAGCCATTTTTTAAAAATTTGCTATGGGGAACAGCAGTTAGCATAATGGCTATGTCGCTGGACTACCATGTAGTTAACCATGGTTCGAGTCCTGGACCCAGTGGCTTAAACTCACGGCAGGGGCCTGTGTGTGTGTGCCCAAGATCCTGAGAGGAGAATGGAGGAGAAAGGATTGTGGCGTGGCCATCCTCTCTGGGGGTGATTTCTCGCTTTCTGTCTCTCTGTCTCTGTCTCTCTGGCGAGCACACATGCCCTGTAGCAAAAACCTCTCAAAAAGAAAAAAAAAAATTGCTACAGAGCACATGCATTCCCCAAAGAGAGATAGAGAAAATGAGAAAGCACCCCTCAGGAGGATGGCCACACCATATTCTCTTCTCCTCCATTCTCCTCTCAGGACTTTGAGCATGCACGCACAAGAGCCCAGCATGTTTCCAAGCACTTGGTCTGGAACTTGAACAGTGCAGTCGACCATGTGGAATCTAACTGCCTTAACTGCCATGACACTGACTATCCCAGTGAAGCAATTTTTTAAATCCAAATTCTATTTGGAGACCTACCATTCAAAAATTGTTGCCCATTGGGTCTGAGAAAACTTACTCCCGTTCTTTCCTACGGCATCTCTCAAACAGATCATTTTGTTTAAGTTAGTTGCTGCCCAGGGTGGCCACTGCAGGTCCAAATCATTCTTGGAGAAGTTATATTTTCCAGGGATTCACACAAGAATTGGGATTGTAAAATAATGCCTGTAAGAACGGGTTTTTTCCTGCAGGAGGAGAGGATTTAAACTTAGCCAACACCATGAGAGCTGGCTGACGACAGTGGGTAGGAATGTAATGTTTGTGTCTCTCGAGACTCAAAATCCAGACGCAGAAGGACCTCATCCAGTTTTATTGGTAACCCATAGAAAAGTTTAGCCAAGTAGTCCAGTCTGGTGAAAACTAACTCATAGGACTATGAGGCTGGCTCCAACAATAAGCTTATTAGGCATATGCTTATGTTCTACCCTAAGATTCTCATTATGACAAACATCTGTAGGCAATGCAACACAGAAGAGTCAAACAAGACAGCAAAAAAGGGTGAAAAGGACTAGGCTGAATCTACCAAAGATACCAAACAAGTGGATATTGTTAACAAAACAGGTATCAAACAGCCATGGACCTCAATGCAGAGTTTAGACCTGGTTGTGGCGTAACCATGTTGATGCATTAGCCAATATCGGGGAGGAGTGAGGGGCTTCCATAGGCGCCATACCAGGCGGGAGACTGGGATTCTCTGAAACTAGAAGTGTAAACTGTATTTCAGTGGAGCTGCAGGAAGACTAGAAACAACTACCCGAATGAGAACTAGAAAGCCTATTTATTCAGAGTGTGCTATGCAAAGGACTCAGCCACCATTATTAGCTTTTGGCAGAGATTCGAATGTAGGCAGGGGAGTGGGAAAGTTTTATAATGAAAAAAGTTTTCAAAATAACTGCACCATTCTAATATTAAACACAGCTTGGGGATCAGCAGATGACATGATGGTTATGTTGCTGGACTCCCACATAGTTGAACCTGGTTTGAGTCCTGGACCCTGTGACTTAAAACTCAAGTTGGGCACCTGTGCATGTGTACCCCAAAATCGAGAATGGAGGAGAAGGGATTGTGGCATGGTCATCCCCCGCAGGGGAGTGATTTGTCGCTTTCTGTCTCTGTCTCTCTGTCTCTCTAGTGAGCGTATGTGCCCTATACCTATACCCTATACCCTAAAAAATCTCTCTTAAAAAAAGAAAAAAAAAATAGCTGGACTGTACTTTGTTACTTCCCCCAAGGGAACTACTTGTTTGATAAGCCCTAGTATATCACCTATGATCTGCCACAGATTTTGAGTTATACATTATCTTCTTTCCAATTTCAGATGACACACATGTTCTATTTGACTTACCTATTTTTAAAAAAATTATAAAAAGCTAGTAATTTAAATCTGCTGATAGGAGAACCTCAATTATTTTTAAAACAAAAATTCTAATGAAGGATCAAAAAGCAGTTTAACCCTAACCCTGCTACTTCAGTGTCATGTCAAGTTCCATCTGGAACAGCTTCTGCAGTCTCCTCTCTGAATTTCAGTTGTCTGCACTGCGAAATAAGGATCATAATCTACTCCTCAGAGCTGTGGGGGGATCAGAGGGGTCAGAGAGCGTGGGAAGAAGCAGCCTCTGCCGACTGCACACTCCATATGTGCCAGACTTGTGGCTACATGGTTATGATCAGTAAGGAAGGAACTGGATAAAAGGAGCACAACGAATGTCATAAACGAGAAAAACACCCTGTAGTGTCAGCAGAGGAGAACAAAGAAAGAACATGCTTGAGATAGAGGGGAGAGGCCTCACTGTGTGCTACTGCACATGGAGAATAAGGCAAGTTTTAAGTACAATTACACTTATCTTTGCTTAGAGCTGGAAAGTTTACCAAAACTCATTCATTTATGCATCCGCAGGGGTGCAGTGAGCACATACAATGGGTTAGGGCCTGAACCTTGTCTGGGAATAGCTGAGAGTGTAGGAAAGTCGAAGTCCCTAGAGAGAGACAGTCCCACCCAACTTAAAGTGTCCAAGGAGGGCAGAAGGAAAACAGCTTAAGCATTTGCCATTCCTGGACATAAAACAGAGGCCTTGTCCAGGGGCCTCTATGTTTTGTAGACTTCCTAGTTACCATAGGTGGGATGGCAAGTACTGCCAGAATTACAACATCTTTACCAAGGGACTGGTGGAGGACCTAGACTTGGACTGACAACTGCAAAGCTTCCATCCTGGTAACAAATTTACCCCCTGACAGTTCAGTGAGCTGCCATTTATATGGCCTTGTACTGACGCCTTAAAGACTTTTTCCAATGCATCAGGGGCTCTCTGTCCCATGTGCCAGAGCTCAAGGCTTATCTCAGTACTGCAGCCTGGGCACCCACCAGGCAGGGAGCTCAGTCAAGAGAAGCAGCTCGACTTCTCAAGGACCAGGTCAATTTGGCAGAGATGCCCGCACGGGAGCGCTCCTTGCATGTGCTTATTTTAATCAATCTGATTCCTATTTATTAAACACTTACTATGTGCCACGTACTGCAAGATGAAAAAGAGCAGCTTCCTGCCTCGGGCAGTCCGCTGGCCTCCACAAATTGCTTTTAGAAGTACCCGCACGTGTGTTTCAGCAGGTAGGCGATTAGCCAACACCGCCACTTAGGTAAGTGGGGTCCAACACTGGGCTCCTACGCCCCGCTCCGGGCGCGAGATGGGCGGGGCCGGGTGCGGGACGGGGGGGGCAGGGAGTGGGTGGGCGG